CAAGGAATACAAGTAAGAAACATCGAATGTTAATTTATTTTTTCTAAAACAATTGTGTTCGATTTTTAGAAATAGAGAATAACTTTATTCTGGGACAAAGTCCCTTTAAAATAACAAAATAGAACATAATTAAAAGACTACATCTGGCCAAAATAAAACAATAAAAAAAGAGAAAGTAAAGAAAGTATTAGTTAAACAAGCTATATACAAAAAAAAAAATCTATATACAAAACACTTAAAACTATGATAAAACACTTAAGACTATGTACAGTAGGAAAAATTATAATTATACTCTTTTGAAAAATAAAATAATTAAAATACATTGAGTTCTTCTTTAAAATGAGGTGTGTTTCTGCTAACAAAGAAAAGACAAAGCTGGCAATATAAAATGTCAGTGTATTTAAATAATGAATAATATGTAGACTCGTCATTTTCAAATGCTAGCTATAGGTACAGATTTAATTATATACGAATAAAAAATAATTTAAAAAACAAACAAACAATAGATGCGGTCAGTGGCATTAAGAGCAGGAAGATATTGTAATATCCCTAGTGAAGTTCATAGTATAGAATAGTACTATCGTTTGATGATGACTAGAAAAGTATAATATTAAAAGTTTAGCAAGTATCTGACTGTTTTTGGGATAGGAATTGGAATAGAAGGGATTTGAATGTGGATATGGAGGAGGAATGCCGAATTTTGTAGATAATTCCAGAGATTGACAGCGCGAGCTATAAAGGAATTTTGAAATGAGGCAGATATGTAAGAAGGGATGTAGAGGTCAGAAGGTCGAGATCTTGTTGAAAGGGAATGGACTGAAGACTTGAATTGGAGAAGGTTGTAGGCGTAAGAAGGACGATGGTTGTTGATGATTTGATAGAGCAACGTACCTAGGAAATATTGTCTTCTAAAGGAGGGGAAGAGCCACCTTAACTCAGTGTAGTGGTGAGAGACATGGGAGTACCTCGGGGCACCAATAACAAATCTTACACAGCTATTCATTAATCTTTTCAGTCTATCACGGAGCTCCACCGAGAGGCCATCATACACCACACAGCTGTAGTCAAAGTGGGGGAAGATGAGAGAGAAAATTAGGAGTCTACGGGTATGTTGAGGTAGGAGATGGCGGATGCGATGAAATAGTTTAAGGGTAGAAATTGTCAGACGGGAAATGTGAGAAATATGGTAGTTCCAGGAGAGGGTTTGATCTATGAAAAATCCTAAATTTTTAACAGAGGAGCAGAAGGAAATTTTCTGGGCATTAAGGTGCAATATGGGAAAGTCAGTATGGGATCTAATTATGGATTCAATCTGTATCTTGAAATGTAAAATGTTGCAATGCAGTGAGGAAAAAGTTGCTGTAACATCTCTGTATCATGTATAATTGAGGTGACTAGATGACCTGCTTTTGGCGGGACAATCCTGATTTTTAACAATTTGTCCCGCCTTTCGCTTCGTTTTTGGAATGGAATGGATTTTTGGAAAGAATGCACAAGCTAGGAAACGGCAGGAGAACGGGAACAGAATATATGGTTTTCGGCGGCCATTTGGCTATTTCGCCAGGATATGAGTTTTATAATATTTATGTTAATTTTTTATGTTAGACTTTAATAATACCAAATAATTGTTGAAAACTGATTATCGAGGACGGCTTAGCAAAGTTCGCATTGTTGATCAGTTGTTAGGATTCAACCACCATTGTTTGGATTTAATAAACAACCTCAAAATGACCTTTTTAATCGTTATTAAAAAATATATTAATAAGGAAAAGGTTAAACCTTTGCCATCAGCAAATTAACTTCATTTGCTACTTCGATTACCGAAATTTTATAACCTTCAATAAGTTTTCTAGCATTTTCAAAAAGAGCTGCTTGATTGTGTACAAACGTCTGGCACAAAACATGTTGGTCTTAAAAACTGTGTTATTATTGAAGTCGTGAATTAGACGTTAAATAAACCATCAAATTATTCGCTCTCAAAAATACGTCTTTGAAACTAAATTCTCAACCTTATTTCAGCTCAATACTACGTCACCTGATTAACATTTTTACCAGATTATCGTTATATCATTACTGTAACAACACATTTTTACGATCTACCTCCCCCACTCGTCAATGGTGTCCCGCTTTACCAATGTTAAAAGCTGGTCACCTTATGTATAATGCATGTACAATCTTCAATAGGAATAGAAAAATAAGTCCCATTAAGAATTACTGTAAAAAAAAAAATTATGAATAATTCTGGCCATAAGACTGATTGCATAATAAGAAAATAAAATAAATACTTAAGTATGTGCATGGTTATTAATATATATAAGGATGAGAAAAATTGTCAGGCTTTGTAGTCAAAATATCTGTAATGAGTTAGCCGACGTTTCAAACCAAACATGTGTTTCATCATTAGGGCTATCGTTTGGAAGTCTAACAAGAACTCTTTCTTTTGTAGTTTTTGGTAGACTTCCAAACTATGACCCACATGTTTGGGTCGAAACGTCGGCTATTCTAAATATTCTGATATTCTGAATGCACATCCTGACATTTTTTTTTTTATGCTTATAATTTCAACACTGAACTACTTACCCATTTCTTTGAATATGCATATATATTAAACAATATATGAGGAAACTTGAAATAAGACATTTGCTACCGAAAGAGTAATTTAATAATTATACAAGCAAACATTCTTAACCAACTAAAATACTTCCAAAAAGCTAACTTTAGTTTATACGACTTTTCGTTTTTGTGCTTAGAAATTCAAACTCCCACAGATCATTTTGCGAGGCTTAGTTGTTTCTGGACTCAGAGAGGCTTCAAAACGTGTAATACCGTTTAATTGAAACATTATTTTGTAATACAATTTTTTTTATGATATACAAATTAATCATTGATAAAAAGTAATTTTAAAACAGTTAATTGTATAAATTATTGCCTTTTAAATTGTACCACTGAAGAGGCCCCCCAAATAACCTAGGGTTGGTCAAGGTCTATCTATCTTTATGGTTCCATATTGCTTAATAAATAAATCTCTTACAAGTGGATTAATATTGAAACTCTTTCAATAATATTAAGTGTTCCAATAAAAATGCTTGATATCAACCAGTTTGATTGACGTCAGTATGATTGACGTAATCTTAGATGGTCAATGTTTGGCATAATACGGTATTGACTGCTTAAAGACCCCTTAATGTAAGTTAAATCTAATGCCCCTGAGCTCTCTAGGTCTTATCTTTAAAAGTCGCGATATAAAATAAATCTACCATAATTATCTTATATAGTTTTTTTCTCCAAAAATTAATTTATGAATTTCCATTCATTTATTAAATTTGGTATTCAATTAAACTGATTACATTCACTTTGTATTTTTATTTTTTCAAAATGTAAATAGACATGTCGTAATAGTTGAGGAGAAAGCTTTTTGTCCTTTCGGGAACTATTTTGATTGTTCGCCTTCATATTCTTGTAATTGAGATATATACTAATTGCTCAAATCAGTCCTTTGATTGCTAAAGGCGCTGATGATCCCCGCACATTAAAAAGTATGTCAACAGATGATATCATGTGTCCAAATTCTGTTGTACTATTCGAGGTTATTTCAATATCGGAAACCTTGTTGTAAAAGTACTGATCCGTAATTATATAAGATGTGTCTAATCAATTTGCAAAAGCCCTTTGTAAGGCTGTTTTGAGCTAACGGATGGATTTATTTTTAAGTTTGATATATTATATTATTCGACGAGGTCTCGTGAGTGTTTGGAAAGCGAAATGACACCAGGATAATGCGTACATAAAAAATAAATAAAATAAAATCATCAAAATTGAATAGAAATTCGTAAATTTGAAACACTTTGTACCGACCGAAGTAGCAAAGTGAGTTTAAATATATTTTAAGGAGAAACAGAGTTGTTATGATACGTTGAATTATATATTTTCCTTATTGTTCTGTAATTTATTCACTGACCAATATTCTTTGTCCAATTACCCGAACGGACTAACTAGTTTAAATTTAACAATTTAACAAGACGAACTGATTACTAATATGAAACGAATTGAACTCATTTCACACTGAAGCCACAGTCTTCTTGGGACATGATTTCGTTTCAATTGGTGGAATGACAATTTTTTGTCTTTCAATATTTGAAAGTATTTAAAGTTCACTTAGTCCTAGAACTAGCCCCTCCGTTCTTTTATATCTAACCCCATTTATTGGTGATCTATTAAATACTTATCATCAGAGGCTCGAGAGGTATTGTTGCAATGGGAACTGCCTCTATCGATTGTTTACCAAACGATGCATCGACACAAGAATGCGGGTTACTAAGCCCTTACAATGGTCCACCATAGCTGTACTTATTCAATAGGCCGTTGCTAAAAACTCTCCACTTAACAGCACACTCCTGGCCAATAGTCCACAAACAGTTTACGATCGCTAACGCTCTTCATCGACAGCTTCATGTGTTGTTAATTCTGTGTTGGCTTATGGTTGATTGGAATGATGGCTCGTCATTCTTAAAAATCTACGAAAATAAAATAATAAAACGATTAACTAACTCGCTCAAGAAGAGCTTTTATTTATTTTTATAGATAAACTATATCCATCAAAGTGTGTCCACTCGCACGACTTTCCTACCGATGTTTGAAAAATTTAATATGACCGTTAAAAAAAATGAATTAGCGTAATTTTCTTTAAGATGGAGATTGGACTGGGATGGTACACCATTTGTTTTATGAATTTAAGACAGATTTTGTTTAATTTATTTGAATTACCAATTTCAACTTACTACCTATGGATGAACAAGCGGATCTACGGGAGGGAAATTTTCGGGCAGAAGCCTCTCCTCCCCAAAATGGAAAGATATAACTCTGACTTATGGAAATATATACAGATTTCAACAGAAAAATTATTTTCAAAAACTTTATTAGAAAATAAAATGCATATCTATAGAGAGTAAAACAAAAAAGAATTTACTCAAAATTTCCCCCTTTTGCTTGAATCAGGCATTTCATCTCCGCCAGTCATCAATAGCAGCACGCAGCACTTCTTGAGAAAAGCGCTCAACTGCTCGGTTTGAGGCTTTCCAAGTTAGGGTGTGCTCTGTGGTATTCCATCTTATCCAGTTCAGACCAAAGCCGATAATCTGGTAGGTAGATATCAGGGCCTCCTGAGTGCCAATCCGAGGCAGATATAAACTTTGGAATGGTCTTTTGCAGCCACTGCTTAGTTGACCTGGCCTTGTGAGCTGGAGCGGAATCATGCTGGAAAACCCAATGACTTCCAGCAGGGTATCATTTAGAGACTTGACAACAGGTTCCAAATATCGTTCTGATTGTTTTTAGATTCTTTTTTTAACTCCTTTTAGACAAAAATGTAGTTTTTGTGGTGCCATCAAAGCAAACTCCTGACTAAACCATCACTGAGGGAGATTCATGACTCTTTTCTACTCTTCCGATGACTTCCTGGCCTTCTTAAGAGCTGTGTGCTTCCACACGATTATTTTGGTGGTTAAATTTTTCTTCAATTGTAAAAATTTTCTCATCGCTAAACAAAATCTTTCGATGAAGACCATTAGTGTAATGGCCAAGGAGCAGTTTGCATTTACCCACTCTAATTTGTTTAAGAGAAGTGGTTAGCCTTAAGGCGCTCACAGCTATTTGGTTTTCTTTATCACCCCAATCCATGTTAAATGAGCGAAAGAAAATACAAACTAATTGGGATTATCATGCTGACATGTAAAGAAAATAACCTAATGGAGGTAAGGATTATCTAAATAATACCCAAGGATGTAAACAAAGTTCAGCTTTTGTAACAGTATTTATGGCAGAACTAGGTATATATAAATTAAGTTTTTAAGCTTTAAAATTAAATCCTGAATCTTTTAGTGTATGGATGCACAGCGTAGGTAATTTCTTATTGACTTCCTTAAGTTGTTTTTTCCCATTAATTTATTTAGTTACCTTTTTTACTTTCACTTACCTATGTATATAATATATAGCAAGGGTAAGTATTGCGATCGTGAGAATTTTTGAATCTGGGTTTTCAACGAAAATAAATGTTTTGAGGTCCCCTGAGTCCAAATAACCAAGTCCCGCAAAATGGTCTGTGTCTGTGTTTGGGAATAGGGCTTAAATGGCTAACTTTCAATATTTCCTTTAATTTTTGTTTATTTTAAATAATGAACCCTTTCACAATTAACTCTGAAAAAAAAAATCTTGGCTTTTAATTATTTATTATAATCAAATAAATAACTGAAATATACCGTTGTAAAATGAAATAGCAAGTGTCAATCAAAATAAATTTAATATATTAGACGGCTATGAAAAAAGTATGGTAATTAATAGTTTTAAATAATGTTTCATACCGTCTATAATTTTTATTTTCATTTTTTTTCGTCTGAAAATACTTATTTCTCCTAAGAAGAGGGTGGCAAGTGAAAGTTTTGTGATGCGCGCACCGTACCAGATTTTTTTTCTTGCTTTCACTTCGTTATATTTTTTTCTAATTTCGAAAAAATATAAATATAAAAGAATATATTAGTTCCATTTAAAAATATTGTGATTTCATGTAATATAGCTTTAAGCTGAATAAAATAAAGGACCAATAAGTGCGGTTACCACATAACGACATGAGTAATAAATAAATATATATAGCATTTCCAAGTCAATTTCAACCTTTTCCAAATCAAATTCAACCTTTTCCAAGTCAAATTAAACCTTATCCATTTCAAATTCAACCTTTTCCAAGTCAAATTCAACCTTTTCCATTTCAAATTCAACTTTAGAATTTTTGTCAATTTTCGATTTTTTTCGAAATGAAGGCGACTTACTATATTATCGAAGGCATAGCTTTTAAAAAATACAAAAAAAAAAATTGATTACGCAGTTGCATATCCATTTATTTTAACATTTTAGATTTTTTTAGTGTGATATTTCTATGTGATATTCAATTATTTCCAAGTCAAATTCAACCTTTTCCAAGTCAAATTCAACCTTTTCCAAGTCAAATCAAACTTTTTCCAAGTCAATTCAACCATTTCCATTTCAAATTAAACCTTTTCCAATTCAAATTCAACCGTTTTCATTTCAAATTAATGTTTTAAGTTTTTGTAAATTTTATATTTTTTTTTTTAAATAATGGCCATCCCCTTCCCCCTCCAATATGAAAGTCTATTATTATGCTCTCCTAAGTAGAATTTTCACTTACGGATATCGATTTATTGTACCTACTCGGATTTATTAGGGACTAGTATTATGCTGTCCTCATTTGAGTTTTTTGGATTTTTTTCATATGAGGTTGTATTCTTATGTTTCCGGAGCCGTAGATTTTGAAAACGACCTCCATTTTAAGATTAGGCCACCGCATTTCAATTTCTTTGAGTTTTTCGGATATTTTTCATATGAGGGTGTATTTTTATGTATCCGGAGCTGTAGATTTTGAAAATAACCTCCTTTTTAAGATTACGTGACTGCGTTTCGAATTATTTAAGTTTTTTTGACTTATTCGATATATGGGTGTATTTTTATGTTTCCCGATCAGTAAATTTTGAAAACGACCTCCATTTTAAGATTAGGCCACCGCATTTCAATTTCTTTGAGTTTTTCGGATTTTTTTCATATGAGGATGTATTCTTATGTTTCCGGAGCCGTAGATTTTGAAAACGACCTCCATTTTAAGATTAGGCCACCGCATTTCGATTTCTTTAAGTGTTTCGAATTTTTATCATAAAAGAGTGTATTCTTATGTTTCCGGAGTCGTAGATTTTGAAAACGACTTACATTTTAAGATTAGGCCACTGTGTTTCGGTTTTGTTAAGTGTTTTTGATTTTTCCTTCGAATAAAAAACATAATACGAAGGATTAATTTATTTTTCAATAAATAAATAAAAATATCTAATCAAAATAAATAAAATATGTATTGTCTCATTTTTAATTTAATTTTAGTTATCTTTTTTAATGTTGTGGTCTCCTATCACAAAATTATAAGATTTCGAACAATTAGCTGAAAAATCTGAATACGGAAGGTTAAATTTATTACCAGTTGCTTTTCGGCTTTTTAGTTTGTATTCTGTGGTTAATTTAACTTTAGCTTCATAATATTTATTTATTTATTCATACTCGAAAACATATTGATGAAACTTTGTATTGCAAAAATCCAAAATGAAGCCTAATTAATCAAGATGCAGCGGCTTAATCATAAAATGGAGCTTAAATATTAGATAAATTTAAATATTAAAGATTAGAAAAATTTCAATACGTCTCGGATAACATATAAGTAGATCCTTATACCGAAAAAGTAAAAAAAAAAACTTTTATAATCTAAAACAGTGGCATAAACTTTAAATTGGGTCATTTACAAAATGGGGGAAATCTACTGCTCCAGAAACATAAAATTAGACCTTTATACTTGTTAAATTCTAAAAATTTAAATAAGTTGAAACGCAGTTGCGTAATCATAAAATAGAGGTCATTTTCAGAATCTACGGTTCCGAAAACATAAAAGTAGACCTTAATATTGGATAAATTCGAAAAACTTAAATAAGTCAAAACGCAGTGGCGTAATCATAAAATGGAGGTCATTTTCAAAATCTACAGCTCCGGAAACATAAAAATACACCCTCATATGAAAAATATCCGAAAAACTCTAATAAGTCGAAACGCGGTGGCGTAATCTTAAAATGGAGGTAATTTTCAAAATCTACAGCTCCGGATACATAAAAATACACCCTTACATCGAATAAAGAAAAACAACTTAAATAAGTCGAAACGCGGTGGCCTAATCTTAAAATGGAGGTCATTTTCAAAATCTACAGCTCCGGAAACATAAAAATACACCCTCATATGAAAAATATCCGAAAAACTCAAATAAGTCGAAACGCGGTGGCCTAATTTTAAAATGGAGGTCATTTTCAAAATCTACAGCCCCGGAAACATAAAAATACACCCTCATATGAAAAATATCCGAAAAACTCAAATAAGTCGAAACGCGGTGGCCTAATCTTAAAATGGAGGTCGTTTTCAAAATCTACGGATCCAGAAACATAAAAGTAGACCTTTATATTGGATAAATTCTAAAAACTTTAATAAATCAAAACACAGTGGCGTAATCATAAAATGGGTGTCATTTTAAAAATTTACTGATCGGGAAACATAAAAATACACCCTTATATCGAATAATTCAAAAAAACCTAAATAATTCGAAACTCAGTCACGTAATCTTAAAAAGGAGGTTATTTTCAAAAACTACTCACAGACCCACACATCGAAAAATTAAAGATAATTAAACAAATAAAAAAAGCTTGAATTTGAAATGGAAAAGGTTTAATTTGAAATGGAAAAGGTTGAATTTGACTTGGAAAAAGTTTAATTTGATTTGGAAAAGGTTGAATTTGACTTGGAAAAGGTTGAAATTGACTTGGAAATGCTATATATATATATATATGCATGTATGTGTTGTGCATATATATATATATATATATATATATATATATATATATATATATATATATATATGCATGTATGTGTTGTGCGTGTGTGTGTGTGTGTGTAATTTGATTTTTAATTGTTAGTAGATTTTTAAATTAACATTTGGGACAGTAAGCTAGAAAATTCTCCTCCATTGATTATCTTAATCGAGTGTAAGGTTATCAAATAACTGATATAGATATAAGTAAAGCAACTATTATATAAGGTACTCAATAGTGTGTGTTTAGTGTTCAGTGCGAGTCGCTTTGATGAGTGTCAGTTCCTGATGTACTTTGGTATTCCACATTAATGAGATTCACTTTTTCCGGTGAGTTATTGAGCTAACATGCCTTCATTGTATTTATAAATAAATATTATTATCATAATTTAATACAGTTATATTATGATAATTAGTTCCGTATTAGACCCGTAGAAGGGTGAATTAATCGTACACTGGAACATTTAGCATATTTTCCCAGAACTTTCTATCTTTAACATATTACTATATTTAAAGGATGGAAAGTTATTTCTTAAATATGGAATTAATATTCCTGATGTATAAAGGGTTAAGTCCTTGTTGATTTAGTGATTATTTTCGAAAAAGTATTTTTTGTTTTCACTGTGTTACTGCAACTGTCAATATTGTTATTGTTAAAGGTTGTTTTTACAATAATTAGAGATTGTTAATTATTGGTAATTGTTAAAGGTATAATGTTTATAAGAAATATTTTTTGAGTTGGAACAAAATTAATTCATCACCTTTTCATATTTACTTTAAGGCAGAAGTATATCGTCAGTGTACGCTATCAACTCGGTTATGAATCAAATATTTAATTTATGTAAATGGAAGGATATCGATAATATATCATCTTACGCTTATCATCTCTGAACTAAGAAACAATTAAATTACTTCTGCACTTAACCTTTCAATTGTTCTTATATATATTTTTTTTCCTTTTAGTTTAAATGGATAATCATTTTGAAGTAATGCAAAAACTCAACAATCTGAATTCAAACAACGGGTAATGTTTCGTTCATTTAAAAAAAAAAATCGAGACAAAAATGTATATGGATTTATAAAGCACTACATTAACACCTGATAAAATAAGGCAGATCGTACCTAGTGTTATTAACTGAGATTCAAGGTTGTTTGATATTATTGATTTTTTTCTTAAAGCACTTTAGAATTTAATATTCTCCATGTCACCACTGTATTTAGATAATTCATAAACCGAAACTTTAGACACAGATAGATTCTTTCAGTTTTATTCTAGTTGAAGGCCCATTTGTTATCTTTGCATAATACTAAATAAAATAAATTTTTTTTTTTGTGTGTACTATCTGTCTGCAAACCCAACTAACTTTTTAATCATATAGTCTACATTCAACAATTCCTTTACCATTATAATTATGGAAAGTAAATTAAAAATATTCATAAATTTAAAAGTAGGAATAATTACATCAATATCTACAAAGATTGTTAATATCTTTATGATGATAACAAAAGGAATTTACAAGAGAGCAAAGCAAAGCAAAGGCACAACGAAATTTAGTGAAACCGCAGGTATCATACAGAGTGGAAACAATAAGGTTTACATAACGGAAGATTTATTGAAAACGGAAAGGAAAATCTTGTGAAATATAGAGGAATACGAGAAAATTGAGAAAGAGGTACAGAATGAAGGAATTGTACAAATAGAGAACGAACATGTGCTTAGGCTTTAACAAAAATAGATTAAATAAACAACCTTGATAAATCTAAAATTATGGTGTTCTGTAATGGCGGACCTCCGGCTCAGGATGATGTTTGGATCTATAAAGCTCAAAATATTGAAATTGTAACAGAGTATAGGTACTTAGGCATTATATTGACTTCAAAAACATTTTGAACAGAAAGTCTTAGCTGCGATGTTTGGTTTGCATACTTCCTGGAACTCATGAGGAGAAAAGAAGTTCCAATATCGGCGAAGTATCAAGTGTTTGATGGAGTCACGCAAGCTGTCCTCTGTTATGGTTCGGGAGAGGAGAGGAGAAGGGGAAGGGAAGCGATATGAAAAAGTAGAAATATTCGATGGAAACAGCTTGAATATGATAAGTACGGTGATGAAGGCGAGAACTGAAACACTAAATCTGAATTTACTTTACAATTATGTTAAGAGGGAAACAACATTTAAATATGATTACTCATAGATTTGAAGGACTGATGTTTAGTTTGTTTTTTTTACTGATTTTTATATCATTATTATTATTATTTATTTATTTTTTCGTTCACGGAACGGCCTTAGAGACTACGCGAATATCATTACTTTTGGTTCTTTTCTTGATTTAGTTTTTCCTTTCTTCCCATTTCCCTCGTATTATCTCTGTGTGCTTTTGTTTTCTTTCTTCTGTCTACACGACCCCCTTTTTCGAATTTTACTTTCTCACGAGGACCTTGAATTCATTCAGTCATTTCCTATATCTTTCTCCGTCCGTTTTCTTATTTTTTCCTCCTTCCTGTCACTCTATTTTCCATATCTCCATCTCTATTTTGTATATTAGAGATACATTTGCTCATTTATCTTTTTTCACATTATTTTAACTTTTTATTCTCTTATACGTAGTCAGTATTTTTTGATAAATTTTACAATATCTCAATTTTCTATTTATTTCTATTATTTCCTTATGTAACTTCATATTCCTTTTCTGTTCCACGGAAAGATTGACCCCAGAAAGACTAAACTAGGTAATATTTCAGTAAATCCAAGGGTACAAAAGCTCAGGAGGATACACCAAGTGGATGAAAGAAGAAACGGAAATACTAGGAATAAAAAAAAACTAAACATTAGTCCTTCAAATCTATAAGTAATCATATTTAAACGTTGTATCCCTTTTAACATAGTTGCAAAGTAAATTATAGTTATTTCCATTTAACAAAGCTCTGATTCACCCTCCGACAATATGATCTTACCAAACTATTCCTTCTCAATTCTTTGAGAGTAGGGAAATTGCGAGAAAATGGAAAACATCTTCTGGTTCCCCGAGGTTGTCAGCGATCTCCGGGAGGTCTATACACCTCACGGTGGTCACTTACCCAAGCTAACACTTTGTTGATAATCTTCTGTGTTAACTGCTTTGTCAACCTTTGGTCTGACGAATTGAATATTTTTTGGATACAATTAAGGTGTAGTTTGGTGGTATGTAAATATAATCCCCTTCTTCCAGTTTCCAGGAGAAACGCGTAGTTTGGAATGGCTTTGAGTAGATAAAACAAACGTTTAATAAAACTTCTTTGCACCATTTCTACTTTTTCCTTACTTAAAATATCTCCTTGTTTAATAAATTAACAATAATTATAACGGTTAGTCTTACTAAAATGGTTTTAGTCTATTTTAATTCAGAATGCCCGACATGCTATAATGAATTCTGTTTTTCAAATATCTTGCCTAAATTGAAAGTTTCTCCGGGTATTTGCCGTTTTATGACTTTTCCGTCCACTGTGCAGCGGCTCCTCATCAAGATGTATAGGGTTGACATCTACTGGCCATACTGTGGTATGTTCTAGAAAACTGGTATTCCTTTATTGTGGAGGTATTGACATATCGACCGATATGTCTGCAACCGTCCTGCCCGTAGTATAATTTTGGACCATTTAGTCCGAGAAGCCATGAATGCTCACTGGTCCGGAACTTTTCCACTTCTTACCGGACTCTACTTAGAGATAGAACGAACTCTTTGCCGGCTTTTGGGTGAGGCAACCGGGGCTATTGCCCAGGGTTCGTCGGCCAATCTTCAGAGGCGCTTGCCACTTGTTAAAAATTAAAAAAAAAATACAAAACGTAATAAAATAATTAATTTTATACGTTACATGAAGGAACTATATAGAAATGTTGATTGAAATAAAATTCAAATATTACATAATATAAAACATAAGCCTAAGAACTAAATTTAATATTTTTAGGGGGGAGGAGGGGTATGATGTAATTGCCCGGGGGCTCCGAATTTTTAAGGCTTGTACTGAACGAACTAACTTATCTTCTAAATATGAAAGAGTTGAAAAAGTATCACTTACTTATTTATTGAAGGGTTCTATTTGTATTAATCTCGGATTATTCAAGTCTTTAACTATAAGTCTTTAAGACATGGTAAATACAGCTAATTACCTCATCATAATCTCTCAGTTCATTTTCAGAATTTTTTCCCCAGCAGATTCTTAATCCGCCTCAATGTGTAGAAGTAATGGCAGAAAATGTTTAAGTCTTTCAGCTGGTTGATAAGGTTGATCTCCCCATGGCTGTCAGCTTTTACCCGGAGCTTTTACCTTCCTTTCAACTTTTCTTTGACCATGTTTGTTCAGGCAGAGGTGTCGAGATCTATTACTGGACCCTCTCTCTTCACCAATGAAGGAAAATCTGTATTTTACGACTAAACCATTGCTTCCTATTTTAAACGCTCCATGTTCCTTATCAGTAACATTTAGACAGTGGATATGGATGGTACCACAGTGGTGGACCTGTGCACAGCACCGCCTGTTGCCCGGCAACCTGATAACCAAAGTTATAGACGTTAAAATAATTACTTAAAAGTTCGCGTCCCGGTGACTTAGGGACTTTGAACTCTGGCATTAATATTGGAGGCCGCCCTCATTCCCCTTAATCACCACGCTCGGGAAAATCCCCCATAGCCTAAAAAGTGACGAGGAAGGAGAGAAGAAAAAAAAAGTTGAAGGCACTACACTTCATCACATCATGCTTTCAAAGTATTTTTAAGAATTTTCTTATCCATCCTCCTATTGGATTTACCTCTTGGGAAAGAGATAACAATTTATAAATAATATTTATTTAATACTAATATCTTATAAAATTTTGTTTATATTATATAGACCAAGAGTTATTATTTTAAATACAAGCATGAATTTCATGTTGCAGTCATGAAAACGGCGTTGGCACTCGTTCTATTATCTCTTCTCACTATTAAATCGGAAGGGAGTAATATACTGGTGCTTCTCCCACTTCCTCTTTACAGCCACACAAACACGTTTATGCCAGTGTTTAAGGAGCTGGCAATCAGGGGACATAACGTTACAATGGTTTCGCCTTACCCACAAAAGGATTCTATTCCTAATTGGACTGAAGTAATTATAAATGGGACAGCGGCTGAGGAAAAGTTAGGTAAGAGTGTCATTATTTGATTTAAATCAGATATTATCATCCATTAAGTCAGTTAGAATATATCATATAAACTAAGACGTTGTTAATATAGGAAGCGCCGTGAAGCAAATGGTGGGGCTGAACCGGTACAGGTTTTTCTCTTTCATAGCGAGGGTACTATCTGAGCTGATGGAAGTGACCTTCCAAGAAGAGACTCTGCAGAACTTGATCAAGGCGGAAGACCTTCAGTTCGACTTGGTCATCATAGAACCATTCGTTTCAGAACCTCTAGTTGCTTTCGGACACAAGCTGAATGTTCCAGTAGTCAACATATACCCACTGGCACCGTCTCCATGGGTCTCTTACCTGACAGGGGGCGAGGTTTCATTCTCTTTAATGCCAAACATTAGAACGGAGTACACCAATCAGATGACTTTCTTAGAGCGACTCGACAATACCTTGATCAATTTGATAGAATTAGTCACAAACTATTTCTATTATATTCCAAGGCAGGTAGTAATTATTTTCTGTTATTTTAAATGAACCCTATCTAGTATAAACTCAATGTCTGAAACATAGTTTGGATTACAGGAAGCATTAATGAAGAAGTACATGGTTTATCCTGGATCTGATAGGCTTCCCGACCTACTGACCATGCTGCAGGACATATCCTTAACTTTATTAGATTACCACATGTCGGTAGGATACGTCGAACCACTGCAGCCCAACCAGATCCCAGTTGGTGGTCTAACTTTGCGAACTGATGGCCAACTACCTAAGGTAACATCCACAACACAACTTGGTTATTGATTGGTCAAACTTGGTTATTTTTAGTCAGAGAATCTCAAAACGTTTTTCCGTTGGTAACTTTGATTCGAAAGCTCTCCCGAGTGCAATAATTTCCACTGCTGTATATTTCATATATAACTGAAAGTTTCCTCAATTTAAAAAATCAAATAAGTTACTTTTATAATTAAATGGTATATTCTCTTTATTAATAGATTGAAGGTTTTATTGATTTCGATGGTCACACCCATGAATGTATACAGGCTCTCCCATTAGTAGATACGAGTGATCTCAGATCTAAAGAGCTAAAAAAAGTTCATATAAACAATGGGTAAATTTTCAGAAAAAAATTAATCAAAGTTTTGTGTTTGTAGAAGTAGGTCAAATCTCACTTTTTCAAGTTTTTAGTTAGTTAGGAATAAGAAGCGATAACTAAAGATATATTTAATTTAAGTAAATAACAATTTTTTTCACTGTAAACTGGACAAAATTTACTTAAAATGAAAATAGAATTTGACATTGATAAAACCATTTAAAGGGGACTTTTGAGCGGCTCAACTAAGCTAAGTTCTGTTTTTAAAAAAAATCATAAATTATTTCCTATTTTTTTTTCATCATCCAACTGAACTTCATCAAAGGAAACTTTATATAAGTTTTTATCCTAAAAGTACAAATACTTTCAGCATGTATATACAAATACAATTAACTGTTGCAAAGATTTATTTCTTGTTTTCCCCATGATTTTATAACTAATTTAATTGTCTAAATAGGACTATTTATTTATAAAAAAATAAAATAAAAAAATAATGAATTTTCAATTATCTTTAATGTGAAGTGGTTATGAAACTGTGTTTTCTTTGGCATAGCAACTGATCTGTAGTTATAAGTGACAAACTTATAGTTTCTCATCCTAATATTTACGTTTTTATGAAAATAATAGAAGCAATCATCAGATTTCTTTATTTTAAACGTAAATTTTAGAACTAGAAACATTAATTTTGTCACTTGTTACAAATCGCAAATCAATTCATATGACAGAGATCCAGTACAAAAACACAGTTTCTAACCACTTTACATGAAAAATATTTGAAAATCATTATTTTTAACATATTTTTTTATATTAATAAAGAGCGTATTTAGACAATTACCTGTTTATTATAATATATCCCAGATCATAGAAAAACGATTCTAGCCGTTTTTGTGGATTTCATTCACATAATTTTTCTACAAAACTTCAAGTGAATCTCACGCTTTTGCCTAGGAAACCTTATGATTTTGAAAAGCTTATGATTTTTCTAAAAGTGGGGTATCTGTTGTATAGTTGGATAATAATAAAAAAAAATCGCGCATGATTTTTTAATTCAGTTTAGCGTAGTTTAGTCTTTTCAAAGTCTCCTTGAAATTGTTCTAACCACGACCAACTCTACTTTCTGTTAAAGTCGATTTTGTCTAGCTTACAGTGAACAAATTATTAATTACTTGAATTAAATATTTTTTTACTTATCGCTATCTATTAAAATAAAAACGTCTCACTTAAAAAATCACAAATCTTGAATTTGCTACTATTCTATTGGGAATTGGGCTGTTGTTTATATGAATGGTTTTGTAGATCTTAAGGTCTGCTATCACTCCTATAAAATGTTCTCTCTACTTACGTGAAAACCTATACATCATTCATATACCGGCTATTGAAAGTTAAAAACAATCCAAGGCCATAAAAAAGTTTCTACTTTCAATTTTTGAAATTTCCAATTGAAGTTTGCATCTTATTTTTTTTTCTATCAGTCTTAAACTTATTTTTAAGTCGATGCTGGCAAATATATATGACTAGGTCTTTCTTCTTGTGTATCTTATCAAACCTTTGCTTTATGAACAGGATTTACAAGATATTATGGATGAATCAAAAAGTGGTGTCATCTATATTAGCTTCGGTTCGTTCCTTGGCAGCAATCAAGTCCCTGAGGAATGGCTAGTGGCCTTGCTGGAAGCGATGGCCAAACTTGACCAGACAGTTCTATTCAAGTGGAACATGGATATTCCTAAGAAACCCAAGAATGTCATTGTGAGGAAATGGTATCCCCAGTCCAGTGTGCTAAGTGAGTAAAAAAAGTACGTTTAAATTAGTGTTGCTAATTTTATCTTGTGACTATTATTACTCTTACTCCCTTTTGTATAATTTTATTTATTTAAAATTTAATATCAACATTTCGGAATCCTACCTCATCATTAGATATTCAGGTTTTATTGCTTCTAACAGTACCGGCCTTAAACATTTGGTGCCCCTGGGCAATGACGTCATATCATAATAATAAATAAACTAGTAGGCCCGTGTGAAAAATTTGCACAGCATGTTGTTATCAAATGCAAAATTAATAAGAAGAGAAAATAATGCAACGTATCAAAAGATAAAGAAATCAAATTATACTTTATTCATTAATATAATCGACAAAGAAAACAAAAATTAATTCAAATCTTCATTTTTGTTTGGAACTAACATGTTTAAAAATTTCAGTAAGCTGTATCTATGCTGAAAATTGTCCGATTTCGATAATTTTTTTTCCTTTTGTAGGGAATTTAGTAATCTTTTATATAATCATGGGTATAACCCAGCAAAAAGTGTGTAATATTTTAGTTATTTGCAAATAAAGTTTGTTTTCTTTCATAACTTGTTTGCCTGAATTTTCGGAGTGATAGGCCTATTTTACCCGCCTGAAGGAGAAGGAAGCCTTCGAAATTGGTGGCTCAATCTTGAGATTCGGTGAAAAATTAACGATGATGTGGCTTGCCGATAAAAAACACCATAGATAAATAATATAAACTCCTCCTCTCTCGATCATAGAGACCTCAAGTCGACGAAATGAGACATGTATTCAATGACAGTACTGCAATTAATGTAAGGTTGTGTGGTTGCGAACTCTATGCCATGCGTTATCTCGAAAATAGTACGTTTTGGGGCTTAAAAAGGCAGGATCCGATAGTTCCGGAGCAACTATCCAGGTCTTGCTGTACGCATCAAAATCTTCAAGATCCAATTTGTCCCGTATCGATCTACAGACCTACCACCGTTCCTGTATTGAAGCCTAGCAAAATGTTTGTACTGACTTTATTTATTTTAGAAAGAAAAACAAAAGTGGAGAATACGATTCGCTAACCCTCCGTGAAATTCTTAATCCAACGGTACCCCATTCATGGTATTTGAGCATGACAGGAGCTTATATTTGGTACAAAACCGATTTTGAGCTTTACTGTAATAATATATCTACGGATAAACAAAATAAATTTATTTCTCAAGCTGTTTTATATTAAGTAATATTTCATTCAATATTTCTCTAATCCAGTCGATTTATAATTAGGCTAAAATTAATTCTTTTAAATTTTTTTAAAATTCTTAACACCTCCGAGGCGTCCGAAAAGAAAATGGTCCCGTGATCTCCTAATGAGACATATCATTAGAGTACTATCATAGGGTAATTACTCAACAAGTGTTTTCACGTCATTATATATATATATATATATATATATATATATATATATATATATATATATATATATATATATATATATGTTCAAATTTACTAAATGTATTTCTTTAATACAGTTGTAAATATCATTAAGAAATAATAAAAAATTCTTATCGAGTGCTCATGATTGGCTGTTGCCCAGTTTATCTGGCTCTTAGGTCAGCGCTGGATCATAACATTAGGATTATATATCTATAACGTAAGTTAAAATAATTTTGGAGTAAATGAGCAAGAAATTAGAAGTAATATTCGCCTAAACCTAAAACGGATTATAATATTCTTCCTTACTTCACATATTTTATCATTAGTATTATTATTTTAGTTTTTCTAACGATTATTTTTTTGGATATTCTTTATTCCGATTCCAAACTTATTCCTTGATGACGTTTTAGCATGATCAATTAACATCTTACTTATCCTGGTCGATTTTTTAAAAGACATGCCACCGACATTATTATTGAAAAGTAATTTTTGAGGATAAGGAAGAAATATTACCTTATCTGTAAATAAATAAATATAGTAATAAATCGAATTTCTAGTTATTGCGTATCTTCAACCTTCTAAAATCTATACATTTGCTTCTATAGATTTCTCTCAAGGGGAGTCATTTTTTAAAATATATTTTATATTCTAGTATGTTTTCCACAGTCGTATTTTTTTCTCAATGGTTTCAATGGAAGTAGAAGTGGAAATTTCCCTCTTTCTCTTCCAGTGGATCCGTAACCGCTATAAGCATCAACATAATTTTTTTCGTATGAGAATAAAATCTCTGGGAGAAGCCGTTTTTGGAAATACAGTAATCTCTCAGCATATACTTTTTGATATCCACGAGTTTTGTTCATCAGCGAATACTAAAATGCGAAAGAGTTCCGAATTTGCAGATTGCATTTTTGATAATTCGTGATTAAAACAAAAAAAATCAGGAAATACTGAACATGCATATCAGACTGTTATTGCAAAAGGTCGTATGTAAAAATTGAATGTTTTACAGGAGAGCATAAAAACTAATAATTTCTTCATGATTTATTTATTTATTTTATTGAGAAAAAATACATTTTGTCTCAATCAAGGGTATTGAGTATTTGCGATGTGAGAAACTCATTCATACAATATATACAATTACAAAAATAATAGAAATTAAAACAAAAATAAGAAAAGAAAGCTCAGTATATAACAGATGAAATAAAATATGATACAACACAAATTAAAAAAAAAAAAAAAAATAGGAAATAAAGAAATAAATAACATTCATGCTTATCATGATTCATTAGTATAATTTCATATTTTATTGCCCTCTAATATTTTCCATCGTAGCAGCCTACTTATATCAGTTACAGATTAAAAAATATCAAATATAGAATAAAATTGAAAATGTTTATTCTCCACCTTCCGCACTAATATTAGTTGTATATACTTAATAGGTTTTCACATGCAATGGATGGATCAAAAAATCCATAGGAAAAATTAAACTTTTTGTTTGTTCGGAGTTAACGAGACCAATACTTTTCTTCAGTCAGAACAAAACTAATTTAAGCTGGAATATAAAAATATAAGTGACGTTCTCACAACTTTGATGTTTAAGGATAAAATCGAAACTACGACGAGCTGGTTGAACTTCAATAGAAATATACACAATCATAAATACAAATACGACTACTTTTTTTTTTTTTACAAATTTAGAGAAAGAATTAATTTAAATTTATTGAAAACTACACGAAATCTAAATAACGGCTGTAAACATCATGCTAGTAACATTTGGAAGCGACCAAACAATTCGGTATAAATTAACTTTTGGAATAAAACCTTATTACATTTTATAACCTCATAAAAATATTGTATTAACCTAACCCATGATTACACATGATCAATGGGTTAGGTTAATCCTTCATTTCATACATTTCACAGCTATTATGCTGTTAACAGTTATTTATATTAATTTTAATTATTAAATGGAATTCAATGAAATTCATACTATGCAATTTCTATACTGTGCGTCAAATTTCTTTAAATTTTGAGTCAAATTGAATGGGCCGTTATAGGTTATAGCCATATCAAATAACATTTACTGTTCCGAAAGCGGAAGTATTTTTTTTTAGAATAGTGAATAGAAATATATAAAATTGTTATTCACTTAATTATCTGTTAACCAATCCCTAACTTTCCTACAATTTTGAGCCAAATAAAAAATGCGATTTTGGTGAAATAGACGTATTAAGGAAAACACGTTTGCTCATATATAAGAGAAAGTAGAGAATAGATTTCAATGAAATTGATACTGCGTTGTTTTTATATTAATACCTATATTTTTCTAACTTTGAGCCAAATCGAACCAGCCGTTTCTGAAATAATAGCATATCTAAATAAATATGTTTTCTCATTCGTAAGGGGAAGCGTTGAAGGGGATATGATAAAATTGATATGGAGCCATGTAGACACCGACCTGCACAATTTCTGAAAATTTCATAATAATCGGATAAAGGGTAGTAGTGATATATCCGTTAAATCGATTTGACTATAGACCGAAAGACGCCGAACCAAATTTGATCCTTGACGTCTGAAACGTAAAACCCGAGTGAAATTTTCGATTCAGAGCATAACATTTTTTTTAACTTCTCGCATGAACACAATGCTATCCTACCTTCGGTAGCGAGGAAGAAAAATAAATAAGTATTCTACAAGAAATGTGGAGAACAAAAAAAAACATTTAACTGAACAATATTTCAACATTTCTTAAATAGATTAAATAATATTGAAAATTTTATTGCATTATCCTGATACTATTTGCATTAGTATAAGGTATTTATACTAATATTATATATATAGTATTAGTATAAGGTATTTATACTAATATTATATATATAGTATTAGTATAAGGTATTTATACTAATATTATATATATAGTATAAGATTTTGAAGTGAAAACTTCTTTAGGCGCTCTGAACACTTTTTTTGTGGGTAGTGAATGAGAGTGAGCCGTCACGCTCGGATATGTAACGCCCGTTCGGGTAAAGTCGGCTCAAGTCGACTAATTGTTGAATTTGAATTAAAATATCTCAGAAACTAAAAATCGGACTTGCAAACTGTAAGCGAGGGAAATGGTTGGCATCTCGACGAGACGCCGTGTTAGAGAGGAAAAATATAGTGTCAAAAACCAAATCATAACGAAGTTCATTTTTTTTTTCTTATCCCCAGGTTGATAGATGGTTTGTCCTCCTCATTCATAGATGCTGTTAGATGTTCCTTGTACTTTATCTGAGATGCGTTATGAGTTTTTTCTCAGCATTCCTCAGTTCTATTTCATACTAATTGATTAAAAATTATTAAAGTTAATAGTAAATATCTCGAAAACAATAACAGATACGAAAGAAATCAATATAAACATTCTTGAAGGAAGTTTTATCACTATTAATTTTTTGTACAATAATGTTTCCTCTGCGACGCCTTATTTTCAAGATATGTGAGAAAATCTGGAAAATTAGCTTTATGGTACCATCCACCTCTAGCATATCCAGGATTTAATTTTGGGGTGGGGAGCTTCAGCCCGAATGCTTTTTTTCATAAAAATAATGATAATTATTTTGTAAAAAAATAAATGAACTAACTACTTATATGAAATGGTGTTTAAGTGATTCCTAAAGTCCTTTTAAATGTAATTACACGAGCAATAAAACTTATAACATGGTTATATTTTACCATTTTTTTGGGAGGTGGGGGGAGGGGCTTCAGCCCTAAAGCTCCCTCCCGTAGATCCGCCCGTGCTCTCCACTGTAAAGCGGAAGCGGTAGGGGCGAGGGTTTACCTCTTAAGTACCATCAAGAAAATCCCAAAGTCAAATACCTGTCCTCAAAAACTGTTCAAGATAATTCAATTCTAAGTGCACCATCGTAAAGGAGACAATTTTTTTTTGAGAAAATAGTGATTAAATCAATGATATAAGAGACTTTCAGGAGGTCTAATACGGCCGCTATACAGAGATTTTCTGCTCGTGTATGTATGGCTACTGTGACTGCAGCAGTACAGCGGCAGTATTAGTAATTTTTATCATTTATCTTAGAAAATTTAATTTTTAAAAATAATTAAAATAAGAGTTATTATTTTTTCCTCTGAACCTCTCACTTGGAATGAAATTTGGTAAATATATTTACTGTTTCGGTTCCAGCACATCCGAACCTCAGACTGTTCGTTACACATTCCGGACTACACAGCATCACGGAGGCAACTTACTTTGGCATCCCTTTGGTTTGCATGCCCTTCTTCACTGATCAGCTTTACAATTCCAAGTTCGTCCAACAGGCGGGTTATGGGCTCATAGTTCGCGAAGAGAACAGAACAAGTGAGAACATTTACTGGGCCATTAACACAGTACTCAACGACCCAAGGTATGGTTATTATATGCAGCTTCATTATTTTTATAAGTATTCCATATTTTCATGTTAAATTGAAAAAGAAATTAGGTTTTCAGTGATAATGAAGGCGGCAATAATGTTTTATATTCTACAATTGTAATATTGTATTTTACCATTTTTATTTATAAGTTAATTCTCAGACAAACACACACAAATACATGTATCTAAATTAATTCTATTAATTTTCAAATTTTCTCAATCTAAAATGTTAAATATTAATAAATTCTAATGCTAGATTAATGAAGATCGTGCAAAAAAAGAGTGGCCTCGAGGGTCCCGATTTCCCACCTGTTGATTATACTAATAGATCAAGGAATACGTCAGACAATCCACTCGAGCTTTCTTTGAACAGCCTATTCATGCAAGCATAGTAGTAACATTGTTATTAGTAAACTTTTTTATTTAGAATTATAACAATCTGTCACGTGGACAATAGTTTATAGTGATACATGAACACATTCACATCATATGTAAACATTGCTGTTTATATTTGCCTATTTGGTCCTTGGGGAGACTGGAGCACTTCAGGTCATTTTTCTTAATTTTTGAAAAATAAAAATTTTCCACCTTGATAACTTTTAAGCAGGGCTTAAGCTAGAAAAAAACTTTTATTGTTAAATGTTCTCGGCATTAGCGCCTTTTATTTTCAATGGGTTTTCAGTTCTTTCGAAACTAGAACTTTCCTCCTTGCAACTGTTCAAGTAAAGGTTTTACAGAACTTTTATTTAAAGGTTCTAACGATTTCGCTAAAACGTTGAAAATACTTTGCAAATACTTTTTATTACAAATAAAATAATCTATATTTGTTAAGTTTGTACAAATGAGGGCTCTGGTAAAATATAACCATGTTTTATGAAAAATCTCTAAAAGTATTATTGTTTGCCTAATTACATTTAATAGGACTTAAAGAATAACTCAAAAACCATTCGTAAAGGTAGTTAAAATTAATAAGGTAAAAATCTTTCGGGCTGAAGCCGCCCATAATTAAATCCTGGATCCGTTAGTTCAGGCAACAGCATCATTTCTCCTGAAATTAGTCCTCTTTTAGTCTTTGTTCTCGTTTTAGTCTTTTCTGTCTTTGTTCATTTGATATATTTAAGCATGATTTCTTTTTCTCATCTTTTAGAGTTTATGCTCTAAAAGATTATACTATCCTTACATACAAAAACAATTTATATTTCTTTTATATTTGTAATATAACAAATTGCAATTTTTTCATTTATCTTCTTATTTTTCTTTTTTTAGGAAGCCTACGTTTATATATTTTTTCATAGTTAAGGCAAAAATACTTGCAATTTCCTTCAAATCCCTTTAATGACATTTATTATCCCTAACGTTTCGGAACAATTTTCCATTCATCAGAGCAATCCTTATATTCACTGAAACTATGCACATTTTATATAACCTATTTTTACTGTACCAATCTACTTTATATATCGTACAATTATTTACCTTGCTTTTTTGATGCGGCACCATTTGTGAAAAATTCAAATATTTGTCACATTCATTTTATATTTGTTTGGTGCTACACATTCTTTCTTATTCACTGTTACACTAACCAACATCTGGCTATCTTCAGTTTAGTACTGTACTTTGTATCTGTCCTCTTATTTCTTATTACGGCTGTTTGTTGTGTTATTTTTTTTTTTTTTGTCTATTGTTGTTTTTTGAATTTCAATATTGGATATTATGTCCGAATAGTGTGTACTTAAGTGTTTTGTATCTGTTTTATAGTTTTTTCATTTTTATTATTGAGAATCTATGGTTTCAGATTTAAGGAAAAAGCACTGGAGAGATCTAAAATTGTAAAGGATAGACCTCAGACAGCGCTGGAATCAGCAGTCTATTGGATCGAATACGTGTTGAGGCACAAAGGAGCGAAACACCTCAAGCCCGCCAGGGCACAGTTCAACATATACCAAGCTCTCTCTATCGATGTTGCAGCTTGCTTCCTAGTAGTTATTAGCTTATCATTATTAATAGTGTATAAGTCTATCAGGATTGTATGTTGTGCAATATGTTCAAGAGCACCAAAGGTCAAAAAAGACTAAATTATTTTTGTAGATATTAAGTTATTTTGGTCTTAAAGAAATGCTATTTGTATTTTATTTACAAAGTCTCGTAAAAACGATATGTTTGTATTTTTTATGGAATGTTAATATTTTTGAAAATAATTGAATAAAATATATTAAATATTGTACTATAATTCTTAATTTTTTATTATATCTAAAAGATAAATTTTTCCGTATAAAAATGGGGACTGAGTTTTCTGCAATTAAACAAATAAAAGCTGGAGTACCTCAAGGCAGTGTCTTGGGTCCAACACTTTTCAACATTTACTGTTCAGACATTTCACAACATTCTGAAATACTATTGGCTACATTTGCTGATGACTCGGCAATATTAAGATCTATCAAGGATGAAGCTAATGCTTATCAGGAGGTACTTCAAGAACACCTAGACGACATAGCTTGTTGGGCTAAAACGTGGAAGATAAAAATGAACGAGCCAATTTGTTTCATATACACTTAGACATGACTCTTGTCCTCCAGTGTCCTTTAATAATATCGCTTTACCACCTTCAAAAACTGTACGATATTTGGTTCTCCACTTGGACAAACCACTGACATGGACATACTACATAAGACAAAAAATAGAAGAACTTAATCAGCGATACGGACTTCTTTCTAGGCTACTTGACAAACGTTCTAAATTATCTGTGACTAATAAATTAACTATTTACAGCAAAGACATCGAATATAAAAATCATCCAGTCATTCCAGTCAAAAGTCCTTCGGAAAATTGTAGACGCACCCTTTTATTTTTCAAATATTACGTTACACACTGAACTTAACACTTCTTTCATCACGGCAACTGCCGCTGACCGCTTTAATAATTTTCATGACAGACTGACTCACAAATCCATATAATGCGCCCAGAAGACTACTGAGGCGCTGGCCAAGAGACTTATTGCATTGAGCTGCTTGCTGTATTGTCTTTTTTATGTGCTATCGAGTGTTATTTTACTACTGTTTTTTTTTTGTGTCTTTTTATTTTGTTATTACTATTCTTTCTTTTTCCATGCTGTCATTTATTCTCCTTGATATCATATTTCCTGAAAACCGAGGTAGATGGCAAATTTATTGTGGGCCAGGAATATGTGTTATTAATAAATAAAATATTTTATTGATTGTTACTAGGGGGGTATCCTCTGTGCGCCTAGAGGCGCCTTATTACCAATTTATTTTATCATAATTACTCTAATGCCAATTTGTAACAATAACATATATTCAACTTGTCCAGTTCATATAACACCAACATCAATTTGAGAATTTTATTTCTAATATTTTTGTTGTACGTTATATTGTGCTTCCTTTTCTATTTATAATAATTATAATTATATCACAATATAATATATATAATACAATAATTAAGATATTGTATTCTATACGAAAATATCTAGATAAAAAAATAACTGCTGTTACCTAGGTAAAATCAAAGTACCACCTCCAGATGAAAACTATTTTCCGTACAAATTTTTGGACTAAAATTTTAATTTTGTATTAGAAGAGTAGGAGGTTACAGCAGGAGCTCAATACTATCACGAAGACATCGGGGTGTAAATCTCTCTTTTGTATTAGGAGAATAAGAGGTTACAGAAGCTAAATACATAATGAACAGCTGTATAATTAGTGCTAATTATAGAGCTTCTGTAATCTCCAATTGTTCTAATACTAAAATAAATCTGGTGCGCGCAACACGCAACTATCACTTACCGCTCAATTTAGAATAGAAATTATTTACTGGCCATGTTGGGCTATTATAAAATTTTTGAATTGCATTTTTAACCGAGCTAAAGCTAAAAATGACAGCTAACAACATGGGCGGATCAACGAGGGCAGGGGCTTTCGTGCTGAAGCCTTCCCCCCTCCCCCAAAATGGTAAAATATAACCATGTTTTATGGGAAAAATATTAAAAAATTATCTCTTAAAGTATTATTGTTCGTGTAAGTACATTTAAAAGGACTTAAGGAATCACTTAAACACCATTTCATATAGATAGCTAGTTTCTTTCTTTTTTTCCAAAGTAAATATCGTCATTTTTATGAAAAAAAAAGCTTTCGGGCTGAAGCCCCCCCCAAAATTAAATCCTGGATCCGCTAGTGGCTAACAAATCATAAATACCATTAAAATAACAAAAGTGCTATTTATTATACCACTGGTTGATTATTGATTGTACAACGAATTGTACAATATGGATTATGGATTTTACGGCTATTAGTTATTAGACTGTTATTTACAAAATGAAATAGTCGTGGATACTGTTGGAATATCACAAAGGGAAGATTCATCAAATTATTCACCAATTCAATTTTCTAAAAGTTTGCATGATGATTTTTCGGATAATACGAACGAACGATAATACCTAATTATTTAAATATAATACCAGATCTTAGAGTAATTAAACTACAGTAAATGTATTAAAGGTTATAAACATATGATTTATATATCCATGAAATGATTTTATATTTCACTACTTCTTTCACACAAGTACAATGAAATTGATTTTTTTTACAATGCCATTGCCTTGATTAGGTGGATTTAAAATACCTTTTAAAAACTTTTTTTTTTGTTTTAATTTAATGGAATTTACAACTGTATACAAATACAACAAGTAAATATGCGCAAATATAAATAATGGCATGTACAGGCTTGAAGAGTTACTACCCAGTGGTAGCACTCTCTAAATAATTTTAAGTAAGAAGATCACGAGGCCATCTCCTTTTCAGACGCCTAGGAGGATTATCAGGAATCGAGAAAGAAGCAAGAGTGGAAACAAGCGGATTTGGATGGGACTGAAGTTTATCATGAAAGGATAGATATCTGGCTCGAGCTAAATCAGCGACATATGGTACATTAAGGTCTTTATGAATGGTTTTATTTGTGACAAAGTATGGAGCATTAAGGATTTTACGGAGGATTTTGGATTGTAAGGATTGGATACGATAGGAATTCGATGGTTTGGTGGAGCCCTAAAGCTCAACTCCGTATGTCCATATAGGTCTTATTATAGTTATGTATATGAGTCTTTTGTAATTAATAGAAAGTTTGGAGCGTTTGTCTAGTAAGTGTTGGAGCAGTCGGAAACGTCGAGCAGTTTCTTGTCGTTTCAGTCTAGTATGAGGATTCCAAGTAAGACGTTTATCCAAATGGAGTCCTAAGTAGCGGATTTGCTCAACAGGAATAAGTGGAGTATTATTGAAAGTTGCTGTAGGACAAGACGTCATAGGTTTTCGACGGAGGGTAAAGGTGATTTGATGGGATTTGTTGGAATTTATTTTTATTCTCCAATTTTTACACCATTCTTCAAGGCTTGTGATATGTGATGGAAGAATTTGGGATGCAATTAAAGGATCGTTATTAACAGATAGCAAACATGTGTCATCGGCGTAAGTGGTGATCACAGTGTCAGGATGGGTTGGGATGCCAGCTGTATAAACTGTGTAGAGGATGGGACCGAGGATACTACCTTGTGGAACGCCTGCAGATTGAGCGAAGAGGGATGATAAGACATTATTTTGGTTTACTTTGAAGTATCTATCAGTAAGATAGGAGCAGATATTGAGGAAGTATGTAGGGGGTAGGACTTTTCGGAGTTTGTACAGAAGACCCGGGTACCAGACTCGATCAAACGCCTGTTCAACGTCGAGAAAGACTCCCGTGCAGTACATACCGCGCTCCAATGCAGAGGAGACTACATCAACCACACGGTGACATTGTTGGATAGTGGAATGCGATGTGCGGAATCCAAATTGGTGATCAGGGATAATATGATTAGAGTCTAGGATGGGATACAGGCGTTTTAGGATGAGTTTTTCCAGGATTTTGCCCATGATAGGTAACAGAGAAATAGGACGGTAAGAGGATGGGTGTTCGGGTGGTTTTTTAGGTTTGTGTAACATTTTGACAATAGATATTTTCCAAGAATCAGGGAAATATGTGGATCGGAGCACAGCATTGTATATGTAAGTGAGGAATAGGATGGCTTTCCGAGGAAGAAGTTTTAGGATCTGGGAAGTGATAAGGTCGTGTCCAGGAGCTTTTCGGGAAGGTAATCTGTTGATGATATTAGATATTTCCGAAGGATGAAATGCTTTAGGTGGAAGAGTCATTTGGAGTGGAATATCCAGTTCTGCTTCAATACATTCAATTTGATGTGGATTAAGGATATCAGGATGTGGATTAAAGGTTTGGAAGAGGTATTGACCGAATAGTTGAGATTTTTCTTCATCGGATTTGGACCAGGTTTGGGATTCAGTTAATAGTGGATGGTTAAAGTCTTTAAACTTTAGTATCTTTTTTGTGGTCGTCCATAGAGATTTGTCAGTAGTTGTAAGATTATCAGTTAGGTTAAGTAATTTTTGTGTTTTGAATTTTCTAATTTCTATTTTTAGTTTGTTAGTCAATTCGTTATAGTAAGTTTTATCTGAAGGATATCTAGTCCTATGCCATTTCGATCTTGCTCTGCGTTTTTCTCTTAATAAGATTCGAATATTTAATGGCAAGTTACTATATCGTGAGTTATTGCTTTTATTGATGGAAGTGTTATCATTTATACTAATAGCTATTGATGTAGTGAGTTTTTCTATGGATTTGTCAATGTCTTGTTTTGTCTTAAGCGGAATTTTTAAGTCCAGTTTATTTTCCAAACCGTAACGAAACTTGTCCCAGTCTACTCGTCCTGTAATCAATTTCGGATGCGAGGGTTTAGGAACGAGATTTGAATGTAATAATAGCAGAACTGGACTATGATCTGATGAAAGGTCATCCAGGGATTTTATTGTGGTCAGGGAAGAGGAAATCTGAGAAGTGATAAATATATCTAGGATATCAGGACGTTTTTTAAGGGATGTTGGCCAATATGTTGGATTCATGGGCGAGAGGATAGAATAACTATTAGAAGATGAGACATGAGATAGGATATTACCACGGGAATTGGATGTTCGACAACCCCATCGTTGGTGTTTAGCATTGTAGTCTCCTCCAGCAATAAAGCGTGATCCGAGTGATTGGAATAAGGAATCAAGAAGGCCATGAGAAAGGGAATTTCCAGGAGGACAGTATACAGCTGATAATGTAAGATGGAAAGGGCGAGTTGATAGGATTACCGAGGTTGATTGAATGGCGTCAGTTGGGGTGGAAGGGATTAGGGAATGAGATAAGGATTTATGGATAAGGATGCAAGAGCCTGCGTGGGAAGTGTTATCTGGATGGTCTGATCTGTAAGTGATGTAGTCAGTTATGTAAAAGTTTGATCGTTGTGTGAAATGAGTTTCCGTCAGGAGGGCAATGTCAATGTGATTGTCATGAAGAAATATGTCTAGTTCGTCACGGTGGTTTTGTAGTCCATTAGCGTTCCATAAGAGAATAGCTAGGGGCTTTTTGTTCATCGAGGAAAATTGAATGGGATTTCGGAAAGGAATCTGGTTAGAAGGGTTATGGGTGGTTTGATAGTCTGTTGAAGGTCTATCAGGAATGCTAATAGGATAGAATTGATGTCGGATGATGTTTGGCTTTGAAGGATCTGTGGATTCGGATCAGGAGGAGGTTGTGGTTGGTAATTTGTGCGATTAGGGTTATTGGTAGGGGGTTGGGTCCGTTGTTGGGTACGAGGAGTTGGTTGAAATTTCTGAGGTACATATGATGGTG